CACATAATGTCAGATAGATTGATATTTTAGAATCACTAATGCTAGATATCATTATTCTTCCCCATGGCAATGATTTTTCGATTATTAAAACCTCAGTGTTTTAATTTCACCACCTAATCCAGAATGATGTTACTACTCAGACCCATAAAAATCCATTATTTGCAAACTTCAATTTCAGATCAGATTAGGTATGGATTAAAATTAAAAACTTAATCTAAATCAAAGTTAATAATTAATTTTAGGATTATGTTATTCGTCCAACATCCAAAAGTATGCCAGAAAATGATGTATAGTGAAATGATTAGATAAAAAAATTGATTGTATTTTGAACTGTCCAATAATAGAGTGACATATGATATTATGTAACCCAATATGTAAGGTTGGATGTACATGTAACGTCGTCCTTAATTTTCATTACGTATTTTATGAGATCCACGACTTTTCAACTACACATTTTTATTTTCACTTCTATCAATATCTACTAAAATCTGATTTTAATCTTCATCAAATAAGAGACAGCGGTTTGGATATGGACTCGTAGAAGATCCACATTCACCTCACAAGGCATTTTTTTTCCTTCCATTTCGTTGCTGCCATTATATATAACATTATGTTTATTATAGGCATTGACTTTCGTTCTGATGATTCGATTGATATCGTGCCACGTTAATTCAAATTTGTACACGTCCATGTTTGTCATCCACAAAACTATAATATTTAGAACTCTGGTTGCATTATAGGGGCCTGCTTCGTAGGCTCCTGCCAGGTTACACACAGGGGGTACGTTTTTTTTAAAAATACATTTGGGTGGGGCCCACGCTACAGTCTGTGAAAATAATTCCCGTACATTAGGAATTATTATAATATTTAAGCTATATTGTACTAATCGGACTCATGGTAGGGACAATTAGATAGTGCTGAACGACAGATTTGATTTTCTGCACACGTGAGCATGATAAAAACTTTTTACTACTGACGTAACAGGAAAACCTTAATTATGATTCGCTCAAACTCCATTGAAGATAGAAGATCAATTTCACACTAAACAATATTAAAGAAGAAAAAATGTTAACAAATTCTGTTTGTAATATTATTTAGTCACATCCAATACTGCATATTATATATTCACTCTCTATTTTTCGAACAAAACTATGAAAAAGGAGACGAAAAAGAGTAGACAAGACATGCTTTTGAGATTTTATTATTAGCCATATATACTAAAGGTTTTCCAATGTTAAAGGCTTTCAGTATAAATTACTTCACCTTGGTATTAATTTGTCATCGATCTTAAGCAAATTCATAGTACTCGAGGATAGAAGATGAGGGGAAAATGATTTTCAAAGCAAATAAGAGCATTTCCAATAAACTCTTTAAACATGAGATACTCTTTATGTGAAAGAGTTAACCTTTAAAATCACGCTCTAAGAGACTTTTTAAATTAACATTTTAATTTAGAGAGTGAGTTTGACTCTCCAAATTCTTTATAATTAAATGCATTCAAAGTATTTTAGTTTTCAATGTAGAAAAAAAAGTTAGTTAAAATAAAAGATAAAAAAAAATATATTTTTTTAGAGTGATAAAATTAAGTGTTAAATATAAAGAGTTTGTTGGAGTACTTCAAAATTTTAACTCTAAATTTATAAATGCTCTCCAAATAATAGAATATCTTCTTTAAAAATAGAGAATCTCTTGAAAATGCTCTAATATATCTATTTTTTCGTTTCAACTCTTAAAATTCTCTTGTAGTAATAGGTTGAGCGTTCAAAAATTGGATTTTGATTATAAAATCTCATTCCGTACAACACGACGACGTGGTTTTCCTCCTATATAGGAGGAAAAAGAAACTTTTATGTTTCAATAAGTCCTGTTTGGCGGCCATTATTTGGTCAAAACAATATTTTGAATAATGATTTTTAAGAAAATGTGTAGTTAAAAAGTAAAAAAAAATTGAATTTACGTGCAAAATATTTTATTGTGTGAACGTGTGATTGAAAATGAATATGTAGAGAAAAATAATTTTCAAATAATGATTGTCTAACATGAGCTAAATTTGAGATTCAATACGCGATTCATATTGGCATGGAAAATAATATATGAAAAATTGGATTCACATTTTGTATTCATGAATTAAAGATGCTACATGTACGCCTTTGTTCATACTCTTGCAAAATGCTGTGTTAGCAATTTGTCATTGACTGCTGCAGAACAAAACAAAATATCACCATGAGAAATTGTAAACTCAACATAATGTAGACAAGGGTGAAAAAAAGAATAATCTAGAAGAATTGTCTTGGACAAAAACATTGTACAGAATACATTATAGATGTAGTTGGAGTTCTCCGGTGCTGCGTTTTGATAAGTAGTTTTCCCTTTCTTTTCCTTTTTTCTTTCTATTTTAAAATCCACATCAGACAAGGGTGAAAAAAAGAATAATCTAGAAGAATTGTCTTGTACAAAAACATTGTACAGAATACATTATAGATGTAGTTGGAGTTCTCCCGTGCTGCGTTTTGATAAGTAGTTTTCCCTTTCTTTTCCTTTTTTTTTTCTATTTTAAAATCCACATCAGACAAGGGTGAAAAAAAGAATAATCTAGAAGAATTGTCTTGGACAAAAACATTGTACAGAATACATTATAGATGTAGTTGGAGTTCTCCCGTGCTGCGTTTTGATAAGTAGTTTTCCCTTTCTTTTCCTTTTTTTTTTCTATTTTAAAATCCACATCAGACAAGGGTGAAAAAAAGAATAATCTAGAAGAATTGTCTTGGACAAAAACATTGTACAGAATACATTATAGATGTAGTTGGAGTTCTCACGTGCTGCGTTTTGATAAGTAGTTTTCCCTTTCTTTTTTTTTTTTTTTTCTATTTTAAAATCCACATCATCTTCTGTTAGGGTTGAACGTGGATTGCATTGTGTTGGATTGATTTTGAGTCCAACCCAACATGTTCGGTTTGACAATAATTCAAATGGAAATCAACTCATTCATGGTTGAAACCCAACCCAATCCAAACCAATACCAAACCGATCAAATTTGAGTTGGTTTGGGTTAGGTTGAGTTGATTGGTTTGGACTTAAGTCTAATTCAAATTGGACAATTTTTATGGACCCAATGGTTAAGACATTTTTCATTGAATTTGAACAAATTTTAAATTTCATACCATTTCAATTTGGACCAATTTCAGTTAAATTAAAAGGGTGATTTTAAATGCCTTAAGTCGATCGAAGTTGATCAATGGTCCGCAATGTTAAGTTTCATTCCAATAAACAATATAAATTAATAAAGAATTAGTCTATTTGTACATCAAGACATATACATAAGGGGTTACACCCCCCTCACATGGTGAGTGGGACCCACTTGAATAATATTTTTTATTCGAGTGGGTCACACCCCCCATGTGAGGAGGGTGTAACCCCCTATGTACATCTTGATGTACAAGTAGCATCACCGATTAATAAAATTGTAAAACCTATTAAATAGATTATATCATGATCAAATTAAATATATATTAAATCAATCTAAATATATGTTGAATACCTGCATATTATACGTATTGAATAAAATGAATTCAACATAAATACTAAAAATGTTAAATCATCCAAACTCAATACAAAATATCCTCCTTCAATCCAAGTGTTTAAATCACATCAAAAAATCTAGTCGAGAAATCAAGACACGAGCAACAATGAGAGGCAGAAGAGACGTGAGGCAGAAGAGAATTTTGATCATTGGATTTTTGGTTTTAAATACTAATTTTCTTTTTAATATTTTTTTTAATCTATTAGGTTGGGTTGAGTTAATTTGATTGAGTTTTAATAGATAACTCAGAACACAACCTAACTCAGTAACTCGACCTAAAATTTGATTTCTAAACCCGAACCCAACCTAATTGAACTAAAAAAAACCAATCCAAATAGGTTGATTTGGGTTGAGTTGATCGATTTGACTGGTTTATATTGATTTTTGCCCAACTCTATTTTCTGTAAAGCATTCTGTACACTGCTTTTGTACAAGCAGCACAACTCGATCTATAACGTCTTTTTTAAGATGTGTCTTTGACTTGAAAAAAGTTCAACCTCTCGTGTCATTTTCCAGAACGATCAAACAAATCCACTGTGTTGAAATCTCATTGGAGGTCAAGTTCCAACTTCCAAGTGTAAACTTTTCATTTACATTAGCAATTCGAACTATTATACAAGTCATTTCAATTCACGATATTAATTTTTATTGTCGCCATTAATGATCAACAACCGCCCGTGCTCACTCAAAATCCTAGATACACCACTGATTCAAGGAAGTTCCAACTTCCACGTGTAAACTTTTCATTTACGAGAAAAGAAATTACTTAAGAGTCCATATTTGAAGACCATTGTAAAAATTCATTTTTTCTCCAATTTCCTTTTTAATCACACGGAATGTCTAATGTTTTTTAACCCGGAGAAATAATTGGTTTAATGCAAGCGGAACGTTCTCTCAATAATATAATTTGGCACTAAAACCCAATTTTTCCCCATATTTTTCAACCATACATTCCACAAAAGATCACTATTACAAAAATCATTTTTTTTTTCTAAAAATGGAGCTCAAACGTAGCCTTATTTTCTAAATAATATTTTTCTTACGTCTATTATCACAGAAAAGTCGGGATTTCTCATCCACTCAAAAATAACATGGCATTTCAAGAAGACAGAATTCACAAAAAAAGACCGACATTATTTTACAAATACAAGGTACTACCAGCACATGGGTGGCATTTCAAGAAGACAGAATTCACAAAAAAAGACATTATTTTACAAATACAAGGTACTACCAGCACATGGGTGGTACAAAGAGTCTCATGTTTACCATAGTTAAAGGGTGCACCTAAAATCATTATAACTTGTGCAAATAAAATTCCAGCTTAACTCAAAACAATAAATGCAACAAAAATTATATTAAGTTTTACCCCCCGAGCCATCAATAGCCAAGCTTTGTGTAGATCACCTCTCTGAAGCCTCTATCATAATTTTGCACCTGCTCCATATGCATTGGAGTACACCAGATTAACATGTATCTCTTAAGTAATTGCTCGTAGGAATAGAGGAAAACAAAGAACAGAGAGCTTCACCACTTTTCAAGGAATCAAAGATGAGGCCATCAGTCACATGTACTCCACATCAAATTTAACCAATTTAGAACCAAATCATTTTTCTCAATCCCTATGAGGAGAGAATTTCCTATGTTTAGTTACCATTTACCAATGTCAATAATTGACGACTTACGACTACACAGATGGAAAACCGGTAGTTAGAGTACATGTAAAAGAAGAAACGAAAATTCAAGGACCAAAGTGACACTAACTACCCCCACAAGACTTCAACTCAAAAAGTGAAATTTACGCTCTCATAACCATAATATCTAACATTTCCAGTGTGCTTTGAATCTCAAGCTGTAACTAAAGGTCTACTTAATCATTAAGTAATTGAGCTTTAGACAGTCTTTAAGCGGATTCCAATTTCACATATATGGAAGTGGAAATTTTTTAAACGAATTGCACAAGCACATTCACTTAAGAGTACGAGTTCCCTTGTTTACAGTATTTAATAAGTTTGAAATACATCTACACAAAAATGAAAAGAACCACAAATAAATAATCCCATGAACAATACGTATACAGATGTTCATCTAGAAACGTAAGCAACAAAATTTTACTTGTTTGTACCTATTATTTATGTAGTCTTTACAAATTCAAGTGTGGATTTGCCAATGATGACTTCTAAATCATTTAAATCAACATATGTTAATCTAAAACTTTAAACCATAGCAAGAGTAAATTTCTCACTTACCAGAATAATCTCCCCGCGCGAGCTCATTTGTACTCGAATGATGGTGGACTTGGAGCATCAAAGCTCTCCAAAACCTTTGTCTTGCTACCGTCACTTGTAGATGTCTCCTCCTTAGGTCCACCGCCAAAAAGCTCTCCAAACCATGAAGATGACGTAGAGGAAGTTGATGATGATGATGATGATGAAGATGAAGATGCCATGCTATCAATGTTCACTGGAGCTTGATTAGGCAGTTGTCCCATTGGATATCCAGGTACACCAGGCATATTGGGTAGGGGCTCGTCCATTGGTGGAAAATTCTGTGGTGCACTCATAACTTTATTTAACATAATACCGGCTCCTTCAATCAAAGCAAGTAATACGCCACCAAACATCGCTGATTTTGAAGCAGCACCTAACCCTGCACGCATCTGAAGAAAACCACCTGTAGCAGCACCAGCTATGATGGAATTCCACGGATCCTCTTTTTGGCGTATGTAGACCATCGTGCAATCGAATGTGGAGAAGAGTCCACCCCACACAGCAAAACCGCCTCCAAGACGAGGCGCATTCATGCGCACGGCTTGAGAAGCCCCAATCAAGCGTTCACCTTTAGGGGAGTTGTAGATACCCCTCAAGAAATGGTAAGCTGAACCTCCAACAGCACCCATGCCAAATGCTCCCCCAACGTCATCAAGAATACGGTCGGGGCAAGGTTCTCTGGAAGTTTCTGGGGTTCCCATGATTTACCAACAACACTTGACAAGCTAATGATGGTATTGAAGGGTTATTTTCCTGAAATGAGGTGATCCTGCTTTACAAGAACTATTCAAGCAGTGTTACCGCCTTCAAAACTATCTTTTAAGATACACATAAGTAATGAATCCACATCTTCTGCAAATAAACACGGAAATTTATAGCAGATAGCATTACACACACGCGCGCGCACATAATAATAATAATAATAATAATAATAATAATAATAATAATAGTTACAACGAGAACAGAAAAATATAGAAATATGATTCAAATAATTTCATAGTTTCATGAGACAAATAATTAACTTTTCCTTGAGCTCCCCCATCCCCCTCTCCCAATTAACCTTCCAACAATCAAAGTTTATTGCAGCTATTATGAATTCATTAGCAGAGTTAAGTGAAAATTAATGTTCCTAATGAACCAAAATAACCATCTAATTTTTTGCAGTAATTCCAAGTCAAATCATTTTTACTTAAAAAATTAATTGGCAACTGGTAATTTAGCAGAACATACATGCCTCCTAATGATCGATTTGTATTTGTCGAATACTTGAATACCAGATGATAATTTTACCTTCCCCAAAAAAAAAAATATATATATATAATTAAAAAAATCTTTAGTGATATAGGAAACTATTCTTTTCAAATCGCGTGACAAAACCCCGAGAATATTCATTCGAACATAACTTGCAATCAACACGAAAAAAAAAATGTTAACAGTAATATCAACGTAGCATCTCAAACTCCAAATTTATCTGACGCATAAAATCACAGGAAGCAGCAGAAATGGAAACTTCAAAGATTACTGTATGCTGATGCAAAAAATAAATCTAATTTCCATAAAATTTAAACAAAAAATATCACGTTTAAAAGATATCGATAAAAATTAAAAAGGAATTTACCTTCACTTGCAGGAAATGGAGAACTCTAGAATGGGAAGGCGGTGGCGAGAAAGGAGAGAAATAGGGTTGAGTTGACTGGGTGATTGAGTCGTGGGCTGGACTGGAGATGGACCATAAATGTCTGATTACTTACTTGGACCGATCTTTAGTTCCTTTAAGTCTTTCTGAGGCCCAATTCAAAATAGCATAACAAAGTTGTTAGCATGTATAAGGCCCAACTGAAGATGAGATACTAACTGCTAGGGAAAATTCCAACTGCATGTACACCACGTTTATCACTTCGTTCACAAAATTTGCACTTAAAAAAAAAATCTCACACAATCTTCCCCAACAAACACATTTAATCTGGTCACTGCAATTCTGCCACGCAGGCATTTGTGCACCAGGGTGAAAAGAAACAAATTTGAGTAATGTTACACTTACACACTTGGTTCACATTCACTTTCACATCTCTCTTATATAGGGTGTGGGGCCCGCAATTTTAAAAATCGCGGACTTAACCCCCTATTTGAGAGAGATGTGAACCAAAGTGTGTGCATTTAGCATTTTTGAACAAATTTTTCCCTTTTTAATTACCGTTACGTCCTAGGGTTGCTTTCAAGCTGTTGACACACAAAAAGTGCAGCCCAAATTAAATGGCCCAAAGGGCGAAGCCCAGTTGAGAATCCAAAATGAAAGCCCAAACAAAGGCTAAGAAGCCCACAAACAAAGGAACGTCGTCGACCCAAACTTGCAGAACGTCCAGATGTTGAGCAAATAAAATACCCAATGGACGCCCAGAGCAAAGGAGTTGTCGTCCAAATTGCTGGATCGCCCAAAATCATAGCGATGACTAAACCCTGCGGTTATCTAAAAGTCACGGTTTGAGGCGGTATGAGTACATCACGATTACATCCCACGATTTGAGAAAAATAGTGACAAGCGGTTATAAAAAAAATGTGGTGGTAGGAGTTACNACAAGCGGTTATAAAGAAAACGTGGGGTAGGAGTTACAAATGGTAGTTATTGGCCAGTCAGCCACTATGAAAGAAATGGGGAGTTACGAGCAGAGTCCAAACGGTTGAGAACTGCCCAAAGAGTATAAAAGGAAGAAGAAAGCAATGAAGAAAGCGCGACAAAATTCACTCTTAAATAGAGAATATGTAATTTACTTTTTCTTAAATTAACTTTAATTACTTCAATTTCTTTGTATTTGTGTGCTTGAGCCCCTTGGAGGCATCTTGTTCGTATCCAAACCGTAATCTTCATATTCGATAAACACCCCTTTTTGGGACTTTGTTCCAAAAGGTTTGTTCCTTACACAATCGTCTGATCCTCTTTTAACTGTTAGCGAATAACCACGCGAAACACAAGCGTATGCATGTGGGGCCCTTTTTGAATGAAAAACGTTAGTTTGACCTTTGAATGGTCTTCCTTTTCCCTTCATTATCTTTATTTCTTATTCTAATTCAAAATAAGGACAAAATGGTCATTTATGGCAAATTTGAAGGTTAAACTGGCCATTTTGTTCAAAAAGGACTCGCGTGAAGGTTAGGAACTCCGGTTTCTACAAATCAAAAGTTTTGAAACTCCAATGTGATGAGATCGATAGGTTAGAGACCCCTAAAAGGAGCTTTCCCTAGTTGCCATTGATGTTTGTAGCATAATACTTGGGCCGTGTTTGGGCTCCATTTTTTCAACACTCATTTTCAATCACAAATTTTCCTATAAAATAATTTTTACACGTAAACTAAAAATATTTATATATTTTTCAATCACACGTTCTCCATCATTTTACTATTTCAAAATATATTTTCCTGAAAACAGAGAGCCCAAATATGGGCATAAGGTGTTTGGTGAAAATGTAATGTTTTGAAATATTTGCTTTAGTAAAATATATTATTCATGTTAATTGACACTGATATTTAGACAACATGCTTTATGTGTATTGGTCGTTCCATATCAATATATGCTCTCTACATATGACACCAGTGTGCAAGAATCAATTTCTGGTAGAGTGACTCATGTTCTTCTGGCTACAACTGTAAGTACAAAGCTTGAGTAGTAGAGAAGGAAGGTCGAATTGGTTGAACTTGCTTAATTACTATGTCGATTGATGCTTTGAGTACGAAGATGCCTATAACTATTACTTGCTTAGAAGATTTCAGTTTTCAATAAAATGATACTGATAATCAGATTGATGCAGTTGAGCAAGTAGAATATACGTTCTTTGAAAAATATACACTAACTACTGAGTAGTACATAGTAACTGTCTAACTAACGACATGTTGATTTATTAAAACAGCTTGGTTTTGCTCATGCTCCAAATCATGTTCGTAAGTAATCAGCTTGTACAGATATCAAGCTCTGCGACTATCTACGTAATGAATCACACTTGGTCGTTCTAGCGTATATAGGGCTGTCCGTGGGTCGGTTCGGTTCGGTTCTGAAGAGACCTGAACCGACCCAAAACTTTCGGGTATTTAATAAATGGACCCGTCGGGTCCAAATATAATTATGGAACCGTTCGGGTTCGGTTCCGTTCGGTTCGGTTCGGGTCGGTTCGGTTCCGTTCGGTTCCGTACCATAATTAAATTTTTTAATATTTTCAGCAACACTACATAAATACAATTAATAACATTTCATTCGTAACTTTTACAAATTAACGTAGCCCAATTCAAAAAAATATACAAAACTAGCCGTCCAATAAGATTAATTCAATGCATACAAATACCAAAAAGTAGATATTAATATTACAGCAAAACTACATAAAATATATTCATTTGCTTCAAATTAAAATGGGCTAATGGATTTTAAAAATGATTTGGACTTTAAAATTAAAATTATGAAATAATCTAATTTATTTAATTAATTTGCTAATTTGTATAGAAAAAAAATAAAATAATTTAATTAATTCAATATAAAAAATAAAAAAATTATTTAGTTTCGGTTCTTAGGTTCTTGGTCTAGACCCAAACCCATCGGTTCTCGATTCGGGTACCCGTTCGGGTATTTAATTTATGAAGAACCGCTCAATTCGGTTCGGGTTCGGTCCGGTTCGGTCCGGTTCGATTCGGGACTTTTGGACACCCCTAAGCGTATATGTCCAGTCAAGTTTTGTCCTCTACGTCGATGTCTCAAAATGGGAGTCATTCAAGGATTATCCGAGGCGTCAAGCTATTTTTTCAATTTTTTTGTAAAAAAAGAAGTAAAAAAATAATAATAATAATAAGTGACCCCACGTACTATATCAACCCTAGTCAAAACCTTCACCCAATCAGTGAGTTAGCCAGCCTTATATGAAAGCTCTTTCTCAAGTGCTTTCACCAAAACTCATAGCCCTTTTTTTCTCTGTATTTACTCTCTCCCTCCACAATTCATCGATCTCCGGTATGTTCCATCATTATCGCCTCTACTTTCCTGCTTCATTTGCATAATTTATACACGCGCTAATATCAGTTCATAATTACTTATTTGATGTTCGCGCATTTTTTATTTATACTATAGTAAGCACCTTTAAATTTTATTGTTTGCTTAATTATTACTTGTTCGTTTAACTAAAATTAATTAATGTGAAGATAATTGCTGAGGTTTGGATTGATTTTGTTAATTGATATTCAATATAATGCACTTCATATTTTTATCTTGTTTTTGGAGCACGGGAAACTTTTTGATGGTTGAAAAATGCTCCTTTTTTTCTGATTTTTCAATCACTGATTTAATAGTTTTTTATTTTTCGTTTTTTCATTTTTCATTTTTTGCTTTGTTAAGTGAATTATAGTAAAATCTAGGACGATTCTCTGTTATTTTAACTCCAATCTGATGGTTTGATGTGGATTTCACTCTGGAGTCGGTGCATTGAAAAACCTCTATTAATTATTATTATTATTATTATTATTTTTTCACCATTATAGCTGTTTGCTTTAGATTTATTTTCTGAGTCAAAGGATGTACAGACCGGTTTTTGATTTTGGTTTCTTGGCAATTTAATGGAATATTTTGTATTTTTTTGGTTATTTTCCTGGTAATTGAGGGGAATATTGCATATTATTTCTGTTATTTGGATCGTCAAAGTCAGTGGAATTTGTGGCAATTTTTAGTTATTAAAATCATTCTTTTATTAGTAATGTATGGATCTATTATCAATTCATGACTTTTTTGTATATAGATCCAGAAATACTAGAACATGAATAAGTGTCATAAAAGCGATTTCTAATTTTAGCATATTACATTCATTCTCATTTTTGGACGTCATATGTTTTAACTGTTAATTATGTGAAAACGAAAACTTTATAATAGTCTGTGTCCAAGTGCAATGCTCCAAAGTAAAAGGTGTAACATGCTTAATATAAAGTTTGTTGTTTACAGATATCATTCATGTCAGATAAGCACACACATATTTCCATTACTTCTCTTCAATGTCCTGACCATTCTTTTTTATTCTCTATATTTTCGCACTGCTGATAGCTGAACACATTTACTGTCAACTAGATGGAGCAGGTAAACCGTGTCTTCTTAGCTCTCTTGTTTGTTCTCATTTTTTTATGCTTGTAATGGATTGTGATGTCTTTTGACATTGGTCGCAGTATGAGAAAGTTGAGAAGATCGGCGAGGGAACTTATGGAGTGGTATACAAGGCCCGTGATCGCGTGACAAACGAAACTATTGCTCTAAAGAAAATCCGTCTGGAGCATGAAGATGAGGGAGTGCCGAGCACTGCGATCAGAGAGATATCTCTCTTGAAAGAGATGCAGCACGGTAACATTGTAAGGTACATTAGTAAAACCACGATTAACATAGTTGCTTACGCATTTCAAGAGACCAGAGATACAATGATGAAGGAAAAGCGTGAAGGGCAGGTTGTCCAACACACATGAATATACCATTGCTGATTGATCATGTTCTCTATCAATGCAAATAACAGGATTGTAGACAATTGATATGATATTCCTAGCTTTACATTGGTTTTGTTATTATTATTATTATCATTGTCTTTTTTGTTAATTTTGTTAACAGATTATTTCTTATTCATATACTGCATGCATTAAAATTTCTCTCAATATATGGTGATAGGCTGCAAGATGTGGTGCACAGCGAGAAGCGCTTGTATTTGGTATTTGAATATCTGGACTTGGACTTGAAGAAGCACATGGATTCTTGCCCAGAATTCTCCCAGGATCCTCGTCTAGTTAAAGTGAGTGTCTTCTTTGTGCCCACTGGGGGCCAGCTAACATGAGGATGCTTTGAATTAAGTTTTTCGTTGAAGAGAGCTGATGGGTTTCTATTTACTGAAGATCTTAACTAGATTTCTGTTTGCTAGTCAATTGTATTATTAAGTCACTTCTATTATGCAGATGTTTCTCTATCAAATACTACGCGGTATTGCTTATTGTCATTCTCATAGAGTCCTTCATAGAGACTTGAAGCCTCAAAACTTGCTGATAGACCGCCGAACTAATGCATTAAAGCTTGCAGACTTTGGATTGGCCAGAGCATTTGGCATTCCTGTCAGGACATTTACGCATGAGGTAAATGTTATCAATTTGATACCTTTTCCTAAAAGTTTAAGCACTCTAAATTGTCCTTTTTAGTTGTAAAGCTGAAGCAGTTAGGTAAAAAAATATCTATACTTTGTTTCTAGTGTTTTTATCTCTAACACCAATCCATAAGAAGAATTTTTTACTCAACCTATCAATGCTTTTCTTTCCTAAGCTGTGTGGATATTTCTTAACAGGTGTGACAGTACAGTACACGTTGCTTGATCTATACGTTGTTTTAATTTTCCTCAGCTGTGGATAAATATTTCTCTGCAGGTGGTCACCCTATGGTACAGGGCACCAGAGATTCTTCTTGGATCCCGCCACTATTCTACCCCCGTTGATGTGTGGTCAGTCGGTTGTATATTTGCCGAGATGGTGAACCAACGACCATTGTTTCCTGGTGACTCTGAGATTGATGAACTTTTTAAGATTTTCAGGTGCTACATCTTTTCAGGATATGGATTTTTCTATTATTTGTAGCCACTTGACAGATTGTCATGTCATCACCATAAACTAAGAAACTTGTGGAGTTTAGCACAATTTGCGCAAGAAAATGCTTGTAATTGTCTTCTTGGCTGCATTAAGATGACCCTACATCATCTGTATATCTCATTTCAATGACATACAAGTTACATAACCTTTTTTCCCCCTCTCCTTCAACTTCCTGTTTCCCATAAAGACTTAAGCAACCATAATTATATAACAATCTCATGTGAAATTCTTTATTATTTTTTATATTCATTTCATTTCAATTTTTTTTTTTTTTGCCATTTGTAATGAAGTATCACGGGAACTCCGAATGAAGATACATGGCCTGGAGTGACATCTTTGCCGGATTTTAAATCTGCATTTCCAAAATGGCTTCCTAAGGTAATTAGAGTTGTATGATTATTCTTTTAAATTTTTGTTCCTCGTGTGAAATATCTTTGATATAAATTACAAAAATCTTAATTAGTGAATGCTCTAATTTGCAGGACTTGGCAACTGTGGTTCCAAATCTTGATGCAGCTGGTCTTGACCTCCTTAGAGTAAGTTCTTTTTGTGCAGTAGGGTAAAATATAACACACACGTTTTGTAAACCTGGGTTTCTAGAAGGCCTTCTATTCAAATGTTATGGTTTGTTAGAGTATATTGTAGATTCTGCAAGCATGAAGCATCTATACTTTGCTTTGACAAAACCCAGTATATCGCAGCATGACAATTTGTTTCTTAATTCTTACCTAAACAATATTTACAATGTGGACAGAATCTTGCCAGCAAAGTTGTCAGGATGTTGATTTTTAATATGATACTTGAACACACGGAATGTGGGCATTTAAAAACAATAAAATGTAATAGTGATGTGATCTGAATACAACAGTTTCGAAGATAGAGTGGTAAACCGTAATTAACATCATGTTTTGTGAAGGACCTAGTTACATTTGATCTTCTAGTAAATGGAGCAATAAGGTGAACATAATGAAATGTAGAATGCTCCAAACTTTATGAAAATATTATTTAGTTTGCTTTTTTATATATTCCTGTATAAAATAATGTGTTATAGCCATTCAATTAGCCTACGGAATCAGACTCACCTCCAAGTTCTTTTTAAGGTTTCCCTTTGGGTTGTGGGCTAACTTAAGGTTTATTAACAGTAACTAAGCTTTGTAGAGTTTTGAAGGTTACTTGGTTTGTTACCTTCATTTCTGGAAACAGAATGGTCTTGTCTTGAGACGTGTATATTGTCCACTTGGTTATACTATTTAGAGTATGTTTGGTAAAGCGTTTTCAAGATTATAAGCTGGTGACAGATTCACAACTTATAATCTGCTAAGAGCTTTACCAAACAATACATAATATCTATCTATCTAGAATTACTTTCAATATTGAAGGAAACAAACAAAGAAAAGTTGATGCTTGTGTTGCTGATTCACTCTTGAGTTACTATTTCAGAAAATGCTCTTCTTGGATCCCAGCAAAAGAATCACGGCCAGAAGTGCTCTCGAGCACGAGTACTTCAAGGATATCGGGTTTGTCCCCTGATTCAGTTCTTCCTTGTACTCGTGTAAATGTATATTGGTACGTGGCATCTGCGGGTTTTTATTCTGAGATAGATATGCGTGCTATTTAGCTGGAATTTTCCTTCTTTTTTATTCCCTTGGCATTACTAGGTTTAAGTCGAAGTGCTTCTGAGCAAAGCAACCCCGATATTTGCAGTTGCCAGCGCTTTTAGTTTCAAATCTCCTTGTGTGATTTCCCTTTTTGCCATTTTTTAGTGGTATTGTAACACCGTGTTGATTTTAGACATATTGGCCTTTTATCTTCTGGTCAATCGATTTGATATTGAGTGCCGTTTATTGTTATAATTTGTTCAATGCATTTTTGGGATCTACAAAATATTATCTATATGACATACCAATTACGTCCGTGGTAGGGAGGATGAGAAATCATGGACAACATTAAAGAAGAAAAACTGTAGAAGAGAAGAAAGCACGAATGTTTGATATGATTTACGGATATTAATGACTGGTTACAAATTCTATTTGGGTTTAATCATGTTATCATCACGCCCTTGGTAGTTTATGGTCCGTAATTTTTGTTTTTGTTTTTGTTTTTACTTTTTGTAGAAGTGCCTTGTGAGGAAGTTACTTTCGACTAATTTTCTCTTAAAATTTTCTAATCAGATCGAGTACTTTTAGAAAATTATTTAAAAATGCTCAAAAGCAACTTTTTGACATTTTAAAGGTCAAATGTCCCTAAGTATATCAACAATATAAAACAATTTGACATTTGGGAGGAGAGCAAAAAGATGGCTTATTAGCACAAAACGTCCCTACGTTTGATAGTTAGTGTGCAAAACGTCCCAACGTTTCATTTTTTTGCATTTTTGCCCATATTTCAACGTTTCAGTGTGGAAAACATCCTTTTCACTATTTTTCAGTGTAAAATGACCAT